CTTCAACGCCTTAATAGCCCACTAAAGCTGTTCATAAGGATCAACACTTGCCCTGGCCTTCGACTTGCTTCAGCTTTGCCAAGGGATTGGGTGACTATATTGAAACGGCTTCGGGTTGGCCCTTTTCAATTGCAGCTCGCCCTAAGATTGGGGAGCCTTTTGGCGTGAAATTTCTCGCATATGATGTGGTTGATGAGGGAGCCAAGATCCCAAAGGCTAAATCTGCCATAGTTCTCTGCAAATCTTCAGTCATGCTCATTAGTTATGGGTTCATGGATTTAAGATGATTGGGGTTCAAGTGCATGCATCATACACAAGTTTATGCTTTTTGAAATGAGCAACTCAGGCTTGGGTAAATGGGCCGGGGTGATGTATATGCTGGGGTTATAGATGGATAGTAGTGTATGGATTAGGTTGAGGTGTGGAGGTGATGGGTTAGTGGTGGCCTGAGGTCCTTTGGTGGAGCTATGATCTCTTCGTCAATAAGATCCTGAATCTTATGATGGAGGCGGATACAACGGTTTGTATCACGACCGTGCTGCTGATGATAGGCATAGTATTTAGCAGGGTCATATCTTGGTGGAAGAGGATTTGGGAGGGGTCGGGGTTCTAGGAGCTCTAGGTACCCTTTTTCTAGCAGCGTTTTCAAGGCTTGAGAGAGACTCATGTAAAAGGGATGGAAATTTCGAGCTTGAGGCCGAGTTGAAGTGGTGGGTTTTTGGCTATTGATGGGAGTGGTGACAGTGTTTACTTCTGAGCATTTCGCAGCTATACTACCACTAGTAGTAGCATTGGAACTGCGAACAACATTCCTCCTAATAGATTCATTACCCTCCACAATGATCCCTTGCCTGATGGCATCCTCAATTTGAGCCCCAATTTCATGAAGGTCCTTAACGTTGAATAATGGGAGGACTATCATTTATGCAATAGCCTTTCGTGTAGATTTCTAACAATTATACGAACTTGTTCTTTCTCTGGAGGCCTGCTTGCCATCATAGCCACCGTTGCCCTGCATCGAATAACAAACTCTAAAAAGCCCTTCTTCAGTTCCTGACGCGTTGCCTCAAGATCACGAGTTGTGACCTCGATCTGTGTGTTGTAGGAATATTGGGTAACAAAGGATTTGGCCAACTCCTGCCAGCTCTGTTTCACAAAGTCATCCAATTTAGCATACCAGATGACAGCTATTCCAGACATGGTTTGAATGAAAAGTGACAACTTCTGTACTCGGGTCAAACCCATTAGTCGTAGGATATTAGAAAACAGAAGCAAATGCACCATTGGATCTCCAGAGCCATCGAAGCGGTCAATATACAACATCTTGAACCGCTTCAGCAGAGTAACAATAGACTCTGTATATCCGTCCTCAATATCTAGAATAGAGTTAACCCCTTGCGTCTTCTTGAATATAACTGTCGATTCGGTGTGCCTATCTTCTATGTCTGGAATAGAGTTGACCCCCAGTGCCTTTTTGAACAACTTTTCCTGCTTGTTGACTTTGAGCGCGGTTCGATCAACCTCGAATTCGAACGGTGTCTCGGTTTGATACACCGAGACTCTGGAAGTTTGCGCTGGGATGGGTTCTATTTGGACTGGAAAAATCGGAACACCCTCAGTTTGTGGATCTTGAGCAGTGGCAGCATTAGCTATGCTATCGGGCACAAGGATAACCACGATGGGTACATGTGATGTAGAGGCCATTGCTGGCTGCGGTTGCTGTTGCTGTAGGCTAGTTATAACCTCAGCTTGACGGGTCGTAACCTCGGCCTGACGGGTCGTGTCATGCTGGAGGGAGTCAACTGTTTGCTGTAGATGGAGTAATAATTTCTCCAAATTTGTTGGAGGCTGAACCATGATAGGGGTAGATGCCCAGGATGAGCTGAATGAAGGTAATCTAATTGGTGAATATCGGAACAGTGGAACTGGTGAACCTTGTCTGGCCCTCTTTTGTTTTGCCACTAGCGAAAGTGAAGCAAACACTAGCTGCCTCTAAACTAAATTTCTGATCTGACAAAGTCAATCGACACGAGTCCAGAGTAACTAGGGGATATTAGAGCCTTCTGAAGCTATGGTTCCAGGACTACCTTGAAAAAGAGAAAATGGACAGCACCTCAGCCCAATTTCACTAGAATATATATGATCACAGCTGAATGAATGTATTCCCCACTGAATTCTGCTCCACAAACTAATACCAATTGTACCACTGATATGAAGCACCCATGTACAATTTCATTGTAAAACACATACCAGTTAAAGAGAGCCAAAACACCACTATGAGGGGGAAGGGTTACCTTGTCCTAGTTTCATTAGGAACTAGGATTCACTATTTCAAATCAAGCGGTTTCACGCAATCCTGCACGAGGGTGAGCATCATATCCTAGTTTGGAACAGTCTCTATGGCTTTTCTATATGCAACTAGGCCAAATGGTAAAAATGGTACCTCAACAAGGATACCTAATATACCTCTCACACCTAACACCGAGAAGTGAATGGAGGATCAAATGGTACAGCGGTAGTCTAGATCCAAGGGTTATATTCCTATCATGGCAGAACCCGTGATCGGTCAGCCTTTTGGCAAGCTTTTAGGCAAGCCTCTGGCAAACCGTCTAGAAATAGCAGATGGCAAACACAGTGACTTAAACGCACTAATGCAAATGCAATGGAAAGGAACATATAAGTGTAGATAAAATTTCATATCATGAAGTTCGAGTCAAGTTCTCTAATTTTCCCAGCAGAGTCGCCAGAAACTGTAGCTCGACTTTTCGTGCCCCCTTTCGGAAAACAAATAAGCCCTACAGTATCAGACCCCCGCGGTTCTGAATCTAATCTCACAAGTGCAATGCAAAATAGATAAACACCAAAGAGTCCAAATCCGGAAAATCTTTTAGAAAATCGATTTTGAATCAAAATGTCAAAAATGGACTACTTTACCAGATACAGAATTGCCATCTAAATATTTTTAGAAAATTTAAGAAACCCATAACTCATGCCAAAGGCCACGTGTCTGTTATCACCAAGATTGTCTCGGCTCGGGAACTTAGGTACGAGAGGGGAAGGTCATAAATTGAGCACCTCCGCTCACCCGATCAAAAATCGACCTCTACTAATCATGATATGAATTTTATGTACATCATATGCTCTTGTTCCGATTATTAGGCTAACCTTACTGTGTGATGCGTACACACAAGTATAGACTAACTTACAAAAATTGGAACACTTAAGTCATGTTTGTTTGCAAAATTGTTTCGAATATGTACCACTTGAAAAATTGATCGCATATGTACATCACTCAAATTATTCTAATTCAAGCAATTAGCTTTCATCCACAAGCATTCAAACAATTATAACAATTAAGCATTTAGCCTCATGGTAAGCATGCTAGGTATGGCAACAATCATACTCATGCAATTATACTAAAGCGAGTAAAAGCTCACCTAGTACTCCAAGCCAAAAGAGAAAATAGTTAGAAAAAAATGCATGATTCCTAACTATGCAATATGACTAATACAACACATACGATATACAATTACTAGGCTCGGCAGCTAATATGGTATATGAATCAATTTGATAACATGCGGTCTAAGCACGTATTCAAAGAAATATTAAACTACTAATGCAAGTTAGAATGATGTACCGAGCCTCGGTGCATGAGAGCAAGTGGATGCAAACATGAGAATGCTAAACAAAACATGATGCCCTAAACTAACCATCATAAGCTAGTAAATAAAAGGGAGAAAGACGTGGGGTTAGAAGACATACACATTATTACAACATTACGCCTTCACACAGGAGGGTTCAAATGAACTAACTAGCTAACTAATTAAAGCTAAGCTAATTAATTAACTATTACAAACCCAAATGAATAATTTAGCTAAACTACTTAACTAATTATTACAAACCGAATTAATTAACTAATCTAGCTAACTAAAATAATTACAACACGAGACGAATTAGCTACTCTAACTAATTAATTACAAAGTCACTATTTTAAGCACAACACTAATATATTTATAACACGGATCCCGAGGATCAATGGAGAACTCATGCATGAATGCGGTTTCTACCCGAAAAGTCACTGTTTCTGCTGCTGAATAATACCTCTGTTTCACAGTAAAACACTTGCATTGGTTTCCACCTCCAGACCAACTCTGCTCTGCTGAGGAAGTACACTGCTGGATTTTGCACTAGTGGCCGGCAGAGGGCCTGCCGACCATTGCTGACTGGCTTGTCCTGTTGCAACAAAGAGCAAATAGAGCAGAGACAGTGTATTCTCAAGGGTTTGTTTGCACAATTTACCCCTCTTTATCATTAACAGCTCAAAGGAGTAGTAAGTTTGATCCACAAACCACCAATGGATGCAATTTCATTGCATGATGGCTTATGAACCAAGTGTGCAAATTCAATGAATGCAACAAAATAAGACTCTCAAAACTGCCTCCCAATCATGAAAGATCAACAAATACAGATAAAGATCACACTTTTTGTGTGTGATGTATGTGTTTTAATCACAGCTTTTAAGTTTTATTAAAATGTGGTTTTTGGGAGTGTGATGAAAATGGGTCATTTTTTATTACAGTTTTTAAGTGTCATTAAAAATGATTTCATCACATCTTTTAAGTGTGATTAAAAACATTTAGATCACATCTTTTAAATGTGATTAAAAACATTTAAATCACATCTTTTTAAGTGTGATTAATAACATTTAGATCACATATTTTAAGTGTAATTAATAACTAATAAAACCTGTGATAAAAAAAATAAGAATTCGACATATTTGAAGAATAATCAAATATTATTTTTGTATGCACATTTGAAGAATTTAATGCACACTCTATACTATATTTTGAATCATAACCATATATTGAATGGAATAACGTCATATATTTTATAAATAAAAGTTAAATATTCAAAAGTATATACAAAGGAATTAATAAATGTTTAACTGTGATTACATATATTAAAAAATGAAAAAAACTTGAAAAAACTAAGTTGTTGAATTCTTTGACCATATTTTGCATCTCTCTAGGAAATTTCTGACCTAAGAAATAAAAACACAAATTAATTCATAAACTGCTAGAAGAATATAAATAAACTTACTATTTTTGTATAAAAGCTAAAGCAAAGCAATTAATATACCAAGTCAAGACGAGTCAACTCCAAAAGAACAAACAAATGAACAATCCCCCACAGTTCTAGTATTTGAGTGTTGAGCAATTCCACCAAGATTTTAACAATTATGTGCTGGTGTATCTGTTTTCAGATAAGAAAAAATACAAATAGAGAGTAGATAGAAAGAGAAGAAAGAGATGAAATGATGAAAGAGAAAAGAAGAAAAAAAGAGCACAAAAGAGAACAAGTTTAAATGAGGGAAAGCCTGGAATAGTTATGGGAAATTATAAATAAATTAGGGGGAAAAAAGAGTTGAAAGCAATTGCCAAAATATGAGATTTGCAAGTCACTTTGTATTTTTGGTGCAAATAATGACAAGTTAGTTTTTGTAATTATTATTACATTTTTCAGCTAATTTGCAATTGCCCTAGTTAAAATAAGAGAAAATCTCACAGCCAATTATCTAAGACAGACCAACCAACACAATAACCCAGCTCAGCCATTCAGCCATCCAACCATCAGCTAGCACCTATGAATAAACACATGAATAGCAGCATGAACACAGTTTAGCAACATGAACACATTTCAGCAAATTTCCCTGAGACTAAACAACACAAATCCTCCAGCTAATACAAAAAAATAAAGAGAGTGGTGTGACAACTTATAGTTGTTTTTGGACTATTTTAGCCCATTGACAAATACTAAGTGTCTTGTAAAAAATTTCAAAACAAGCCCAAACCATGGAATTGCTAAATGTTACGTAGATGCAAAACAAGTTGTGAAGTTTTTGGTTGAATCTTGCTTAAAGCTCATTTGCAGTGTCATAGGAGACAAAGTAAGATCCATAGATAATACAAGCATTCCGATCCTGGGGGACGCTAATGATCCTCTGCTAGTCACCTGAAAAAGAACAAACACTCCGGTCGGGGGTGCCGGAATTAGCACTCCAACGGGCAAGTCAGTCTCTACACTAAAGATTACTTGTGTTCTAAGTTAAGCATAATAGTTCTCACATACCTCTTTCTGCCTGATATTCTTATATTTGTATATTTTCTTTCTTGGGCCTCGGGGCTGGGCCTACCTTTAGTTCGCCATTCTGCTTCTTTTAAAGCAAACTGTTTTTCACTCGGCCCCTTACCCAACCAGCCTTTTGACCGAATAGGGTATGATGTGAAATTACAGGACGAAGCCGAATACTATATTTATATTCCAACTCTCCAAGTTCAGCCATTTGGCCTCTTTACGATCCCCATTATTCGCCCCCCACAATTGCCCCCTAAGCACCCCACTAATGACAGTTGGTTGGAGTGTTTGGTTTTGAACACGAAAAGTCAAGGTCGAAATTCGGCGGCTAACTTCATTCCAATGTAGATGTCTGAGCACACGCCTCTCGGTTATCATTTCAACTTCTCGCCCCTTCGTACACTTCTATTTATTATGATTTAAAATTTGGACGTCCTTTCAAATACATACACACTTTTAGATACTTGTCTCTGGACTTCCTTCTGAATTATCTTTACAACTTCTTTTCCTTCATTATCCTCTTCGTCTTTTGTAAGTTTTTTCCCTCTCTGCTCTAAATACTTTTTTCCTGGTTTGTTTTTGGTTTAGAATATACCTATAAACTGAAGAACATGGCAAAACATTTGAAAGATCTCCTCTCTTCGAATCGAATTACTGGCTTCTGACGCCATTTTTCCATTCCTGATGATGTCCGTCTGTCTCTTGTGACAGACGGCACCCTCGATATAGAGAGGGCTGACAAAACCACGATCGTCATCCCTCTCCTATTAATCGCAGAGGGTGGTGTTCGATTCCCCCTTCACCCACTCCTTAGGGTTATGCTCTGCCATTGGGGTCTAATTCCTTCCCAACCCAATGTCAACTTCTTTAGAATCATAATGGGAATTGTAGCGCTAAATCGTCGCCTTAGGATCAACCTTCGGCATTTCTGCCATTCGACATTGTTATGTCCTGGCCAAGTCTTCCGGTCGGCACGGTCGTTATTTCCTTAAGGCCAAGGACACTGACCATTAACTAGTGACTATGCTTCCCAGCTCTGGGAAGCGAGTCGATGATGTTATGGTCGTTGTCTAAGGCAACTAGGAATTCGGCGAAGGCGAGGTTTGTTGGCATATTATAATCACCGAAAGTCTTAGTATTTTATTAGCCGAAAGGCACTTGGGTCTGTAATCATTGTGATGCCCTCAGGGAGTAAAGCTTCACTTTTGGGACCTAATGGTTTTGCTTGTGCAGGAAATGATTTGAAGAAAGTTTCGATCTCGACCGACGACGCCGTTCTTTCAGAGATAAAAGTCACGTTGAAATACTTCGGTCGTCCAAGCCTTCAGAAACAAGGGAGGGCGGCCCATAGTCTGCTTAAATATGAGTCGACGTACATGACTTTCTCAGCAGCAGAAAACATCCCGATTCCAAGTGGCAAGGAGTTTCCAACGGCTCTTATTTTGACCAACTTCAGAAACTTGCACCAAATTGACGTCAAAGGATCCGCCTTGGAGCGTACGGAAGTTGAGGTCGTTGAAGAATCTGGCCAATCCGAGGCCGAAGTAGACGAGGCTTTAAAGGTAGCCTTTGAAGAAGCCGGCCTCAATTTAGCTAACCCTCCATCCACCTCTGGTCGAGGAGAATTTTACGATGACGTCTTTATCGGACTAGAAGATCTTCCCGGCGCATACCCTGAAGATATAGCTGGGTTGTCACTCGCACAACTCGCCAAAAAGGCAAACACCGAGCGAATGGCCGCGCAGCGGAGAGCAGAGGCCATTCAAGCAGAGGCCAATCGATCCGAGGTGCCGCCCGTCGCAAATGTTGGGCCGCCCGTGCCTGTTATTGAGAAAATGGTTCAAATACAAGGTACCGAGTCGGAGCCGATCGTGTCGGCAAATGAGGAGACTGAATGACAGGTGGAGAAACGTCCTACCGAGGTTAAGGCCGACTCTGGAGAAGAGCCCGCTGACAAACGGCCGTGTTTAGAGTAGTTGGAAACAGTTGTGCCTTTTGTGGTTCAGCCAAAGATAAGAAATATGCCGATCTCCTCTGATGCGTCAGCTATAAAAGACCCAGCCGTTGCGCTGAGTATGGCTTCATCAGTTTCACTGTCATCTGACAAGGCGACTTTTCGCTCAAAGCCAGACGTTTTAGAAGTAGCGTTAGCTGCTCAATCGGCTCTTCTATTAAAAATATATTTTTGGATTTAATCTCCTTTCCCTTCTATGCATATATTTTTGGATTTAATCTCCTGTGTTGCAGACGGTCGAAACAGTTGTGCCTTTTGTGGTTCAGCCAAAGATAAGAAATATGCCGATCTCCTCTGACGCGTCGGCTATAAAAGACCCAGCCGTTGCGCTGAATATGGCTTCATCAGTTTCATTGTCATCTGACAAGGCGACTTTTCGCTCGAAGCCAGACGTTTTAGAAGTAGCGTTAGCCGCTCAATCGGCTCTTCTAGTAAAAATATATTTTTGGATTTAATCTCCTTTCCCTTCTATGCATATATTTTTGGATTTAATCTCCTGTGTTGCAGACGGTCGGAAGGATAGCCGAGATAGGCCGCCGCCAGCACGATGCCCTCGAATGAATTGGCCGTTTACAAACTGAAGTTGAGGGCCAAAGGAGCCGGGCTGAGTTCAAAGCTATGAGGGCAAAAATGAAAGCTGCAAGGGCCAAGACCGAGTTAGAGAGGGCCAGAAATGCGGACCAACTCAGATTGGCTGTCGAGCAAAGGGCGGACGCAAGTGAAACTGCGCTCAAGTTAGCCTAAGAGGGGATCGCCAAACTTGAGGCGGACTTGGCAGAATCGAAGGCGGCAAAGGAAGTTTCCGATTCTAAAGCTTCGAAGGCATATGAGGCCGGGCAAGGCGTTGCCCTTAATAATTATGTGCAAAAAGTCCCCAAATTCGAGAATCAGGGATTCAAACACGACTGGCTCAAAGCCCTTGCTGCTGCTAATATGACATTGGCTGTGCCAATTCCATACGAGCAAGTGGATGTTGAGCCGCTGGAGTCTGACTTCGATGATTGATCAGGGTGACAGTAGTTTTTGTTTACAACTTTTGTTTAGTTTTTTATGTATGGCTACATGTTTTAAGTTTTCTCTAAGCATTTCCCTGCAAATTTGTAGCCTTTTGTTTAGTAGTTTTCATATGTAAAATAGCTACAATTTGTGCCCAATTTACTTATTGAAAATTCCTTTTGCACTTTGCTATTATTTGTGCTAAATTGTGTTATTGGATCATTCATTCATGTATACTTGCCGACTAAATAGTTAGGCAATTTTAACTTCAAAAAATGGCTGTGGCACATGTCAATCGGCATGGGGCCTAGATATTTGGCCGGTTAGATTACTAAATCTGCCCTTGCCCCAGCCACTGCATGAACTCCAAAACATTCTTGTATAATTGCCGTTTAGATGATTAGGCAATTTTAACTCCAAAAAGCCGAAAATTAGTACATGGAGTGGCTGTCGCACATATCGATCGGCATGGGGCCTAGATGCTTGGCCGGTTAGATTAATAAATTTGCCCTTGCCCCAGCCAGTGCATGAACTCGAAAACATTCTTGTATAATTTTCGTTTAGATGATTAGGCAATTTTAACTCCAAAAAGCCAAAAATTAGTACATGGAGTGGCTGTGGCACATATCGATCGGCATGGGGCCTAGATGCTTGGGCGGTTAGATTAATAAATCTACCATTGCCCCAGCCAGTGCATGAACTCCAAAACATTCATGTATAATTTCCGTTTAGATGATTAGGCAATTTTAACTCCAAAAAGCCGAAAATTAGTACATGGAGTGGCTGTGGCACATATCGATTGGCATGGGACCTAGACGTTTGGCCGGTTAGATTAATAAATCTGCCATTGCCCTAACCAGTGCATGAACTCCAAGACATTCATGTATAATTACCATTTAGATAATTAGGCCATTTTAACTCCAAAAAGTCGAAAATTAGTACATGGAGTGGCTGTGGCACATATCGATCGGCATCCGTCTTTTGGAGTTTAGTGTTAATGAAATCGCCTCGAGGTCGCTGCAAGCATTAGAAATAAATGGGATGGACTCTTCGCGCCAGTAACTTCACTTACTGTGTTCAAACTCAATTTAAAACAATTTGTTGCATG